CCGCTGACCTGCGCGTGGCAGGCCTCGGTGCCAGCTGGCCGGGTGACAGTCCCGCCCCCTCCTTATATCCTGGGGAGGGTGGGAGCCTAGCGTCCCCGCGGGTGTGGGAGTGGGTGTGGGTGTGGGTGGGGCCACAGGTTCTCTGTGGTTTTTGGCAGGCGCAGAGTGGTTGTCTAGGTTTTCTGTCTCCTGTCTCGGTTGGCTGCCCCTTTCCTGGTCCTTCGGCTAGGGAGGGGGCGCAGGCTTTTGTTGCGGTTTGTTTTGTTTCTTGTTTTGTCTGTTTTGTTTCTTGTTTTGTCGGTGCCTTGGTGTTTCCAGCCTGCAGACTTCACTTCCAAGACTGGGGCAGCCGAGCGCGGGGAAAACCCAGGGAACTCGCCAGCATCCTGCTGTTTCTTGGGTTTCGAGGTCCCTAGCCTTACTTAGCCTTTCTGCCTTCTCTCCACCCTTCATCTTCTTATGTTGAGAGAGAGAGAGAGAGAGAGAGAGAGAGAGAGGGAGGGAGGGAGGCCACATAAATAGATATAGCTCTCTATATATGTTTAGGGTTTTAGTTGTGCTTAGTGGGTGAAATAGGGAAAAGTACATTACTCTGTCTTCTCAGAAGCAGAAATCTTTCAGGTGCATTTTGCTATTTTTTTATTGCGAACTTCTAAATGTATTTCATTTGAAAAAAAAATTTTAAATCAACAAACAAAAAAAGAGAAATATAAATAAACCTCTTTCAGTTGACAGTGAACCTCATGTGGGGCGTGGTGATGGTTCATTTTATGGGTCAACTCCCACTCGCCACATAAACGTTTTGTCTCATTCGCTTTATCACTTTCGCTCTCAAGTGCTTTTCCCGAATCACTTGAAAGTAAGTTGGAACATCACGTCTCTTTACCACTAATACTTCAATGTGTGTTTCCTAAAAACAAGCACATATTCTTACATAACTGCAGTATAGTTATTAATTTCAGAAAAATTTTTAAAAAGATGTCTTTATTGATTTCAGAGAGAGGAAGGGAGCGAGCGAGCGAGCGAGCGAGAGAGAGAAACATCAATGCTGAGAGTCATCGATCGGCTGCCTCCTGCACGACGCCCTCTGGGGGGCGAGCCCGCAACCCGGGCCTGCGGCGGGAATCGAACTGGGATCTGGTCGCTGCTCAAGCCCTGAGCCAGCCCAGCCGGGCGAGTTTCCTTCTTTGATTTCCAATCACTAAACAGCAGCAGTCGTGGTTTTTGTATGTCTGTTTCTATTGTTTATTTGCTATAACTTCTGTGGTATGTTTTACATCTGGAGGGTGATTCACTCCTCTTTTCTTTTTCAAAACTGACATGGGCCTTGGTTGGGTGGCTCATTTGGTCAGAGCGTCATCCCTATAGGCCAAGGTTGCGGGTTGATCCCTGGTCAGGGCACATACAAGAACCAGCCAAAGATTTCATCCAGAAGTGGAACA